GCGTGTGTGTGTGTGTGTGTGTGTGTGTGTGTGTGTCTGTTCTTCGCTTTTCTCGACAACCGTTCATCTGATTCACTTCAGACTTAGCAGTTGTATTGCTGGTGAGATGATGAACTGCGGTGTTGAGTTTCAAGTTGTTTGGATGAGCGTTTTGTTGGGGTTTTTTTTGCTTTCACAGCAGTATCCCCAGCTGGCTGCTTGAGGCTGGAGCATAATTGGCTTCGTCAAATTCAACATCATCAAAGGCAGGACTTTGGAAAGTTGATCAAAAACATCAGATTTTAATCAACGGCAATGGGCGATGCAGCAGTGTCAACAAAATTGTAAAATAAAGAAGCCTCACTAAAGTAGAATTCATGGCAGAGTTGCCCAGGTGAAGTTAATATAAGGTGGAAAGTCTATATGTTACAAGATATCTGTGTCTTCTTACATATGTGTATATATATATATATATATATGTATGTATGTCTGTATATGACTTTTAGCATCATCTTACCTTCGAAACAGCAAATTTTGGGTTACTATGGTTACTTCCAGTGGGTTCAAAAATATAAACTTTAGGAAGCATCTGTAAGTTATGCCAAACACCAATGTATTGAGGTCTTGGGGGACCCCTGTCAAAAACAGAAATCCAGTTTTAACAGGTGGATCTACGATTATAGAGTTTATGTTTTTCATGAATCCTAAATATAACACAGGCACAAATGCAGCAGAAAGCGACACTAAACACTGCTGTTTCGAAGGTAAGATGATGTTCAAAGTCAGAAATACAATACCTAATTTCTTAATATTATCTGAACACCTTTACACTTGACAGACTGAAAACAAAAAAACAAACAAAAAATATTCCTTTTACCCTCCACACAGCCTGCTATTGGCATCAACGCCCTAACACACTTGAACTTGTTCTATGGCACCTATCTAGATAGTTTTTCTCCTGACTCCTTGCTTGTGTGTCCATAAAGTTGGACACATTCCTCTTTTTATTTCTTTTTATGCACACCAGTAATCATTTTTGACATGGTGCAATGATTACATACTGAGTCCCAGTTACCCAGGTGAAACAAATTCTTCCTTCTGGATGTGACCGAAGAGTGGGACACCCAGCACATTGACACCATCAACAAGCTTTTGGACAGTATGCCACGATGACTTAACACATTGATCCATATCAGGGGTGGTCATACTCAATATAAGTGACTGAGTGACATTTGAAAGAGTAATATTTGACATTCTTATCCATGAAATCCCCTTGAATACATGTTTCCTGTTCAACTGACCAAGTTTCAAACTGAAACAAAACCCTTAATCCTATTGTTCAATACTTTAAGCCTGAATACATAGTTTGTAAAAGTTAATCGTGGATTTTTTTTTTTAATTTGATGTGTATTGTATGTATATTGTGATATCAATAAAGTTTAGAAAAGATATACACTTTATCAAGTATAAATCACATTGTCACAATCATTTCATGAGAAGAGGTAAAAAATATATATTTTATTCCAGCTTCATGGGCAACAGTGTATAATGGCAGGATAAAGGTTAAAGTCCCAATACAATGATACAAAAGATAAAAGTGGTGCAATTATTAGACTTCAGATCCATTTTATTTACAGCACATAAAAAAAAAATCATGTTATTTTCAGAGATTACAATCTGTACAAAGCTCAACACCCTGTGACATAAAATGCAACACAAGATAATTACCAAAATGGTATAAACTCACAACACATAAATATTAACGCATAATAACTCATCATTCATGGAAAGAAAAGACAGTCCAAAGGAACAGTGTTTCATTTGACTTTTTACAAGATTTTTACAATGTGTTAAACTCGACAGCACTTCTATCAATTTTACAAGGTTTCATATAGTAAGTTCTGTCTTGTTTGGCACGCAGAGGGAAAACCACAATATGCGGCTCCTGCTCGGTGGGTCATTTTCACAGGTGAAAGTAGTCAATCAGAGAAATGAAAGTGACTAACAAGACCGTTTCTCTTGTCAAATTGAAATTAACGCTTTTTATGTGATGGTGTTTGAATGATGGCTGGCAAAAAAGCAAAGCACATTATGAGTTGCCTTTGACGTTATGAGACACTTTCTTCAGGTGTGGAATTTTCTCTCTTTTTTGTCTAAATATATATATTTCAAATTAAATAAGCAAACCTGCGACTGTTGCTTTGGTGTGGACAGTCCCATCTTTTCCGGAGAGAGCTCACAGAGTCTATTCAGAGAGAAAACCGCCTCACTTTTTATGAAACAACTTTAAATGCACAAATATGGATCCAGAGAAATTGCACAATGCCTGCTACAACAGGTTTTGACAGAACAGCACTGCACTGCATTCAGACAGTGAAAATCTGACAGGAGCTTGTGTTTCTGAGTTGCTGGTATCAGCCAGGTCAGAGTTCATAGACACGGAAGAAGCTGGCTTTGTGTTTGGGGTTGAAGCGAATCCTTACTTTCATGTCAACAATCAGTCGGGCTTCTTCTAAAAAGAAGATATCTGTCTTGTCAATCGTCTGTGTCTGGATGGTCCTGTTGGTTTTTTCCTTTGTGCTCATCAACAGAGTAATCTCGTCATTGGTGACATTGGAGAATCTCACCCATCCATAGATCAAGTAGGATCCAGCTTTATCTGCTGTGAAGATGTCGTAGCTTCCCTGTTCATCGCTCTCTATACAAGAAATTCAAATAGTTCCTATTAGCACACTGAAGTAATAACATCTAAACAGGATTTCTGAAAGCAGCTTAAATAGTTATCACACATACCTTTTAGTAGCAATGGTGGAGATTCCTACAAAGAGACACATTTGTTATGAAACACAGTGCATGTTAAAGAGGGGAAATCTTTGACAATGTTAAAACTTTCTATCAAAGCTATGAGGTGTTTCTTACCTGGGAGCATGAGGGTCTGAAAAGGAAATACTGAAGGATGAAGCCCACCACAACAAGCATTCCCATCACTGCTGTTAAAGCAAACGCACACCTAAAGCGGCCACGTGAACCTCTGCGGGAATGAGTGTCTTCGAAACTTAGCATCTTGACCTCCACCAGTGTCTCCTCCAGTCCTGCCTGATGTGTGTCCATGGTTTCAATTGTGAAGCAGAAGTAGCGACTCTTAATATAGCCCATGTCTTCCCACACAGAAACAGAGAAAGTGGGAATCCCAGATCCCGCCCATGAGTGATAAAAGCCAAATAGAAAGGAGTGAGGGAATCCCTCATAGCCTATGCAACAAAACCGGTTTAATCATTAGACTGCTGCTGCTTTCTTTGACTCTCTGCAAGAGCTTATCAGGGCCTGCGAAACATGTGGTTGATATCTCTGTTTTGTGCCAGCGCTTCTGTCTGTATCTGATACACTGACATTCCTGAACCCTTCAGGTCAGTGTCATATTTAATGAGGAATTTGTAGCTTGTTTGTTGAATTAGAATTGTCAAGCAGCATTTGAACAGTGGCACACACACACACAAAAAAAAGAAATGAAGCCTTTTATTTTTTAATTGAGCTTTATGTTAAAATCTCTGTTAAAGTACGATGAGATCGTCATCTGTGTTAGAATTACAAATAAGCATAGCCTGTTTTAACTTCTAATGGAAGTCATTGTGCTGTTCTTGTCCATAGTGAATAAATCACTCAAATATTCACTGTGTATGTTGGAAAAAGTATGGGCAACCCCATATGGTAATAGCTTCAAACAATAAAATTCAGGGGTTTGCAAATTGAGTTTAGGTGTGAGTTTAAGCTACTCTGACAACATTTTGAGTTTGCTATTTCTGAGTAATCTCTGCTCATGCTGCTCAATTGTTGACTTCCTTAAAGCTGGAACGAGATCGAAACGTAATAACCACACCACAGCCAGATAAACCATTTATAAATTCGGATGATTTCCTCATGTGGCCACTCCTGCTAAAAAAAAAAAACATAACAGCAAGCCAAGAGTATCAGCTTAACCCTTCATAGGGCACTCCTTGAAATACTTGGAAAATGAAAATTTCCACCCAAGGGTGTTAGTGAATGATATTTCAAGATATTCTTACTTTTGTAACTTAAAAAAATAAATAAATAAATCTTGCAAATCAAGATAATATTAAAGTTCCCATATATGGTAATTTGTCTGTCAACGGTTTTTAAAAAAAGAGTTAGAATAAATGAAAGAAAAAGTAACAAACTGCAAAAAAAAATATTTAGAAACATTTTAGTTTGAGGAAATGATACTTGCACGATCAGTAATAAAGTATTTATAAAGTTCTTGGAAAGTTCATTTAGTCACTTTTGTCTTGGGATAGTGGTATTGGCACACACCAATGTCAACAGAGCTGCCATGCAAGGGGCTTGCCTGCCATTGGGAGCAGCTGTGGGTTCAGTGTCTTGCCCAAGGACACTTCAACTGTGGAGGGAGCAGGGGATCGAAGGCCAACCTTTCGATCAGAGGACAAGCGCTCTACCACCTGAGCCACAGCCGCGTGAGTTCAATGCAAACCAGCAGCGAAGCATTTATGAAGTGCCTGGAACATTTGTTTAGTGACATTTTTCATAAGGTAGTGATACTGGCACTTATACAAAATCTATATGAAAAAGTGCACGTGGTTCTTCAAGCTCAAGGAGAGGCACAGGGTGGACATATTGAACGTCCAAGAAAGTTACCAAATATGGTCACTTGCCCTATAAAGGGTTAACGGAAACAGCACTGAATCCTAAGGATGAGACTGAGCTGTAGTTTTGTTTGTAAAAATAGTCCAGAAATATACTTGGTTGTTGTGCAGGCAGATCTGCAGCTTCGGGAAAAACTTGTTTGAGGATATTGTTGCCTAAGGGGGATTGTTACTTTCAAAAGGTTTGTGTTTTCTGCCAGGACTGGAAACATGTGTGGGTGTGTTGTTTGTCTATTTTTAATACTGCCTGATGACATAGTGCTTATCTAGACTCGTGATGAAGATGGAGATCAGATCATGTTTTATTGACCAGTCAATGCAGTAAACCAATTCCAATGGGTTCACATGCTTTTGTTTATATGTAAATACATTTAGTGGGTGCTGTTGCACTGTTGTTTGGATGATGGTCGGATGCTGTGAAGGATTACATTTGAGTCCTCTCTTCCTGTGGAAAAATGGCACATGAACTTATGATTACTCAATCATTCCTTTCATAATCCTGACACGACTACATTCATGTTCACACACATCCAAACTGTACCTGTGTAATATCCTGTTGTACATGCACAGACCAGCAGATATAGTTTTTCCCTGTGAAATAAGAGCAACTGTTAAGCTGTTAAGCAACAATCAACACCTGAAGCCACCGCACTGTCATCTCTGGTGTCTGTTATGATTTGCAGCCTTTTCGTTCTTCCCACTCGCAGAAACTGCATGTAAAGCAAATGATATTTACAGCATGGCAGCACAGGTGAGGCTGCACATTCTCTCATGTCATAACACTTGGCTTGGATACGTGGCACATGCCGCTTTCACACACACCGAGCATATTTGTGCAAATGCAGGGGCGGAGTGCTTGACTGAAACACACATATACAAAGAAACCTGAAGGCGGCACTTTAAACCAGCTCTCTCTCTCTGTCTCAGTCTCTGACCCATTTAGCAGGAAATTCCTCCACGAGAGAAACTGTGTGCTGTTGCATCACTGTTATTGTCCCACCCACATTCAGATTGCAGCGGCCCTTCTACCAGTGTTGTTGCTCTCTTTCCGTATTTGACTTCGGCCCGAGCTGCCGGTAAGGTCTGGTGACATTGTTTCAGACTTGACTTAGGATGCATACACGCCCACACGTCCTTATCTTTCTGGCTGTTTACTTAGTCCAGTCTTGTACTCTTCTTTATCTCAGTTGTGCATGTGTGTGTGTGTGTGTCTTCAGTTTCATTGCTTGCTGGGTAAAACTTGTAACTAGTTTCACACAATCTCATCTTAGCACAGGTCTGAATTAAAAAAAATCTACATTTCTTTGTAAGCTCTTGTCTTCTTTAATAAAGATAATGTTTCAATACTGCAGCCTCACTGTACACAGGCATGAACAAAAGTTTACATACACTTGTACAGACCATGCATATCATGGTCGTCTTGAATTTCCAATGCCTCCTATAACTCAGAATTTTCTATGACGGGATCATTGAAACTGATGTATCTTTGTCACCAAAAAGACCCTTGCATTTTTGTTCTTTTGCAGAATGTATTATAGGTCTTCTGGAAATATCACAAAACATGCTGCTACAGATCCCAAAGTCAACTGTGCAAATAACTGTAAGTATGAAGTGCATGGCACAGTTGTGTCACTGCTATGGTCAGGTAAAAAACAAAAGCCATTACCTGTTGCTAAGAGAAAATAGGTCAGGATGGTCAAGAGTCAACCACCAAAAAGCAGGTCTGCAATGAATTACAAACTGCTAGAACAAAGGTGTCAGTGTCCTCAGTCAAGCTTGTTTTACGTCGCCACGAGCTGAGAAGCTGCCATGCAAAAAGGAAGCTCTTTCTCCAGAAGCAGCGTCTTAAGGCTCAACTAAAGTTTGCTGCTGATGTCAGGGACAAAGAAAAAGCTTTCTTGAAGAAAGTTCTGTGGTCAGATTTAACAGAAATTGAGTTATTAATCTGTTTGGGGGCTGCAGGGTGGCGCAGTTGGTTAGCACTGTTGCCTCGCAGCAAGAAGGTTGCCGGTTC